AAATGAAAGATGACACATCAATTCCCAATCGGAAAAAGTTGCGCACCGTTTTTTAGCCTCGTGTTGGGACCCATTTTTTGGCATGACAAATAATCGAATTGGAAGATGACATCTGAAGAAAAATCGTAGCCCTTTGATTTAGATTTCTAACGCAATTTGAATCACCCTCGGAGCAGAAAGTTATGGCTAAAATATTGAAAGTTGTCTGACGGGAAAACGGTTGTTCTATGCGATCGCATAGTTCAAAACCAATACGGTCGCATAGTGACCTCCAAGGAACTTCTGGGCTGAAAATCATTGTTCTATGCGACCGCAACACTTATAACTATGCGGTCGCATAGTTCACTTCTGAGACGAAAATTCCAGCTTCCTATTTTGAGTCCAACACTTAAGGAAACACGCCTTCCTACGAGATTTTATGGCCCTAGGTCATCCCAGAACGAGAATAATTCATCTCCTATCAGTTTTCTCTCAAGTTTGGCTCAAGAATTCCATGAAAAACTAAAACCCTTGGTGAAGCTTGGAAGGAACTCATTGGATTTGGGGAAATCACATCAATTGTTCATGTAATTTGGTATTTTATTGTCATGCAATTCTAGATTCTAGACTTTCTTCTTATGAATTGATTTTGAAATTGGTTTAATTTTTATTAGATCTTTCAAAGATTCAATCATGTTTTTTCTATTGTTTGATCGAAATATTTATTGAGTTACAATTTCATTCATGTTATTGGTGGCTTATTTATGATCTTATGCTTGAAGTATATGATTACTTTTGATCTTACTCCAATAACAATTGTGGGAATGTGTTAGAAAGTCTAAATCTTAGAATTACAATTGGAATTAAAGTGATATTTACTGTTAAATCTTCTGATTAGAGAGTTGGGATGAAAACCTCTAATTTAGTAATAATACATGAATTGTTGATGTTGATTGATCCAACCCAATGAGGGAATTCCAATGCTTCACTAATTTCACATATTGGTATTTAAATGTCATTCCAAATTGATAACTTAGTTTCACATAACTCTCAAAACCCCTAAGCTTCTGATACTTTGAACTTTTTCCATCTCCCTGTGGAATCGACACTCCAAGACTATACTACAATCACCGCATTATACTTTGGGCGTAATGAGCAAGTACATACTAGGGTGTGGGTACTAGAGAGTGCAACCATATCCTTGTCGTTCAGACCCATTTGTTTAATAAATACATCCCTTGGTCCTATCCTACAATAGTAATTTAAGACTGGCACGAGACTTGCCATTTTTAAGGCCGAGGACGCTTGAATTTTCAGTAATTTGACTTACCCTTTGTAGCATCGGGCAAACGACCTTCAATAGGAGCTCCTCCTTATCCTGATATTAGAGAAGCACAATCATGAACATGTGCTAATCTAATAAATATGCTTTTATTATATAAAACATATACTCATTTTTTTTATCAACGAGTTATTGATGGAATTTCAAATGGGTTTGGTGCTATAAGTTCTTTGTAGGAGAGGGTATCAAATATGCAGGGGTTGGATGCATATAATAAATCTTTTAGCCCCATATTAATGCCAGAGTTCAACTAAAGAGTCTTTCTAGGCATATCCACATGTACAAGAGAAATGGTACAGAATTCCTGGACAAGGTTTGAAACTAATTACACAATTTCTAGAATGAAATGTTCTCTGCATTTAGAAATGATAGAAAGTAGATTTGATAGCATCAATGGAAGACTTCACTGGACAGAACTTTATATTCAATTAAAAATGTAGAAATCCGTCGCCAGATGATACGTTTGAATTAAAAGTCAAAATTTACCAGAATTTCAATCAAAAAACTTCAACTGAAAGTTGTCACTTGTGTAATCACATGAGAGCCATCGAACCCTAAATAATACTCTACCCAGCTTTGTTTTTAAAAGTAAGGATAACAATCCTCGAAATTCTTTATGGTTTAGCTCCAGATGATATAGAGCATGTTTGGCAAAAAAAGTTGCTCTCTTATAAGCTAGGGTCCCACACAAATTGTGTGGACCAAAATCCGTAAGTTGAACTTATGGAGTTTGGTAACACAATTTGTAGGACTCAAACTTAAAAAAGAGCAATTTTTTTGCCAAACATGCTGGTAGTTGGACTACATGACAGCTAAAAAAAAGTACAGAAAGATATGTTGATCTTAGGAAAAACAACATCACTAACCTGCCTTCCTGGATGGAAAGGGATTTCTGGTCCTCCAGCAACTTCAACAGCAACAACTCCCACCAACTACTATGTACAATTAAGGACCATGAAATATTCAAATTATCTAATAAATAATTCAAAAACCACAATACAAAATTTCATGCATTAATGAATAGAAAGGCAAAAATACCTGATGGAAGTCAGCATAAGAACTAGTAGGGAATTGCTCCCTGATGAGTTCCAAGAGCTTAATAGCAATGTCAATACCATTATTAGCTTCGTGTCCCTGTTCAACCTTGAACCTCATGGCCCCAAAAGGACCTCCAGTCTTGCTTTGCACATCAAAGGTACCTGCAGAATGCCACCTACAGTCACAACACACCACATTCCAATATAATCGAACACGACTTCTATCATATCATCAAAATCACTCATAAACAATGCGCTGAATATACTACCAGACAACGAAATAGAACATCACGACATCATTTCAAAATGAATTGGGTTCATTGATATATTTGTAAAAAGTAGGAATTCACTGAGAGGCACATCCCATTTATATAAGATTTGGATATCTTTTGGATTTGAATCAGGGAGTACATATGAGTATCTTGTTTATGGTTCATTTCAAGGGTCTGACAACAAAATCAGGCCAATGACGTTTTAAATGTCTCTTTCTAAACGCTAAGTGCAGAGTGGTTGTAAGAGTACAAAAATCTAAACTCTCTGCGAAAGGCACGTGGGAGGGATCATATAATCTCCACGACAGTTCATCTTCTCGAATAACTTTGATATCTTCAGACCAAAACCAACAAATGTTGAAGCTCTATTTTACACCAATATTTATTTAGTTATTCAAAACTGTTGGAAAATATGGGACATGGGTAACCCATGTCGGGTAACCCAACCTACAAGACATCAAAACGGTTGGGAGAGGGGTTTGAACTTGGAATTTAAATCTATAATTCCCCATAACCTCCCTTAACTTCCCACATAACCTCTAATCATGGTCTAGGACAAGAGAGGAAAAAAATGGCAAGAAAATCTAGTGAAATTTGTATGTAAAAATGCAACAAAACTGGAAAGAC